ATATATATATATATATATATATATATATATATATATATATATATATATATATATGTGGCGGTGCAACTAAAGAAACTTTCACATACAAGCCGTATTCACGATAAATCAATCGCGCTGGAAAGTTTTCAACGAATGAAAGTATTTAATTCTTTCAACAAAACACGTATATTCAACGCACAACAAGTTAATTATATGAAACGAGACTCCTTAACGGCACTTTTTATTCAGTGCATGCCTTTACTTCACCTAAATTCCAGGAAAATACCAGGCCTGGCAGCCAGCCATGTGAATCTGGCCAGGGTGTTAGATGCCTGGCTGCGTCATTATTGTTGACATCGGTCGGTGTGAAACAAGGCAGGCTTGAAGATCATTCAAGGTGCATCATATTGAGGTATGTAAGCACTGAAGTACCGCATGCCTATGAACAGGGATGAAACCAGTATATGTGAGCTTGTGTTGTTGCGTCTGCGTCAGACTTGCCACCAAATGTTTCAACAGTTTCTAAAATTTCGAAAGGATGATATCTGGTATCATACATCCCCATAAAGACACGGTCTTGGTTACAATCGCCCAGCCACAATTTTATCCAGTTGTAAGTCTTCACAAACATATTTTTGAAATCTCAACAATATATGTCTAGCTAAAACCACTGACAAAATGTGTGCTGTCAAGAGTAAACACTAAATCTCTTTAATGTTTTGCATCGAAATAATTCGTGAAAACGGCTGTTAGCCACGCTCATAAAGCACCACAGTGCTGAAACATGAAAAAATCTGCAGGATGTTTTAATAGGAGTTTTAGCATGCACTGGAAAATTGGCATGTAAATAATTGGGCTCATACGATACCATTCGCATTCAATAATCAAAAGACGTTTATCGAAATCAGAGTGGGTTTACACGACGACACAAGTCTCCTTTAGTTACAGTCATTTGGGTGTTTAGTTAACGCGTTTAGTTCACTCGGATCATCGGATAATACCCGGCCTGGAAACCGTGTAAAACTGTCGAAGACGTTGCATGCCGGGCCACACAATCTCTGTTAACATCGGTGCCGTGTGGAACGAGACGTGGACTGGACCATTTATAAATAAGTGTGCTCTCGAGATAATGCATGCCTTTTTCCACGGTCGCAGCCAGAATATAGTCAGTCAGTCAGAATATGTCGCGTATGCGTTAGACATGCAAACGAACCTTTTTAAAAGCTTCGAAAAGTTTCGTTACTATAGTACCAGGTGGCATAACTGTCGGACAAGCATTCCCTAGCTTATAAGCAACAAACCACAAATGTAAAAACGCATACGTTTTTACAAACATGTTTTAAAATCTTCAAAGGCTGCAACGGAAATAAAAGCTGAAACATTTTGAAGTTTTAAGTTCCGCACCATAGTCCTCCTGGCAAGGTAACTGCAAATTATCATGTCATTGGTAATTTATATATATACATATATATATATATATATATATATATATATATATATATATATATATACATTTCTCTCTCTCCCTCTCTCTCTCCCTCTCTCTCTCCCTCTCTCTCTCTCTCTCTCTCTCTCCTCTCTCCCTCTCCCTCTCCCTCTCCTCTCTCTCTCTCTCTCTCTCTCTCTCTCTCTCTCTCTCTCTCTCTCTCTCTCTCTCTCTCTCTCTCTCTCTCTCTCTCTCCTCTCTCTCTCTCTCTCTCTCGAAATGAATGATCATGAAAGTAATACCAAGTAAATGAAAATAACGTTACCCGCAGACATCTTGTGCAATTCCTTTGAACGAAACTCAAGCATACAGGCCCCGTAATCGAGCAATCGAGATGGAAATTGTCGAAAATTGAAAATCTGGGAGATGCGCCACAAGTGACGAGTCATGCAGTTTGTTGCATATGTATTGCCAAGCTAACCGGAGCGACTTCTGCTGTAAGCTTGTGAGATTTGCTCACCAAGGCCATGTTGGGACCTACGTTACGCTACGCAAGTTCTCATTTTTGGAGAAAAAATTACGACTGAAGTCTCTTGCAAGTCAACACTTTTGCTGAACAGTGATAGTCCCAACGGAGCGTCATAAGGATGAGTGTGGCTGCTCCCAGTCAGCTGTCATTCCTGAAATACTATGGCACATCTTTGTTCGTGGAGATCAGCGATGCACAAAAGCGCGTGCAGTGCGTTTTCTGCTCAAGCAGGTTTTAGGTTTTTTAGTTGTACTTTGACGCTCAGCTCAGGAGTTTGGCTGGCGTCTGGGTGTCCCAGGCATTGGCGAGTGCGCAAGCGATGCGCACGGTGAAACCAATGCCTTCAGTCAGCATTGAGGAGTAAACTGAGGAGTCCATACGGCGAGAACATCGCAAAAAGATCACGCAATGACGCGACAGCGCTGGATGTTCAGTCCCCAAACACACTTATTGACAATTTACTGCAAGATTGATCTGTTCACCAGGTGTTCGTTAACAGCACGCTATCATTGGCGTTCATTTGTCACTTCGGCTCACGGTCAGCCAGCTGTTAATAAGCAGTTCATTGGTGCTCGTCTGTAAGGGAGTTTTTCACATTTGTGTGGTGTTTTGAGCCGAGACAACATTTTTTGCGATTATTCGATACAGATTACAGCCCTGTCCTTTAGGCCTAAAACCCTCCAGCTTCTGAGTTACGCACACCGATGTGCAGATCATTTTATGCGAACTATTTCAAGGCCACACAGCACACATCACTCCATAACAACGCCAATGAAATCATGTCATCCTATAGGTCATGCGGCGTTCAAGGCCAGGAAAAATATCATCGTCGAACCATTCATATCTAGCGTCCATGTGCACGATGCTCACATCTAGGGCACTCACACGTCATGTCATCGTCAACCGTTTCCTAGGCCATTCGTTCACAACCAATGTTGAGCAAATTGTGCAGGTTTCAGTCACCTATCACGTTTTGTGCTGCATAAGATAGGAATTTGGACATGATTGCCAGCTATTATGGGATGAGACTTCTAATAAAATAACTACCAAAAAGCGTCATAACCAAGGACGCGAATACAATAAAAAATCTTAATCTCACGGATAGATATGCAAGAACACCACGACAAAGGGCCGATACACATTTGGTTGAGCGAACACTTCCGGTACTACCACTGCCATCTCTCGGCGAGTTTGGAGTACTACAACCGAGTGGTGCAAAGGTGGCAACTTCGCACGGCTAGTGTGGCAACATCTCAACGTCACACAAACCTTCCCTGACGCAAACAGACAATTATGTATTGAGGAGCATGCTTACTAAATGAATACATTTTGCTGTCATGAGCAGTCTTTTTCACCTAAAACTGCACCAATAGCTATAAGTAGCCTTATTTCACCATGTCGGATGCTTACTTCAATGTCTTCAAGTGTGGGACATTCTCTTTAACTGAAACTGACCAAGAACAAACCTCAACTGTAGTTAAATACCTTGATCTTCATTAAGGAGGCCCTTCGTGGTGCAAGCACAACCAGGTGCGCAACGTTGTTATGACACATGACAGTCCTTTTGCGTTTTTATTGTTGGGCAGCACCCTGTGTACCTTAAATCTCTTCATTTGGGCATGTCATTTCAACCATCTCCAGTCATTTGTCGCTGACAAGCCTACATCTTTAATATAAACGACGGTTCTCGAATAATTTTGATGGCTGCCCTCTTATATGCGATATCAACCAATTATTAGCCAGGGAAGCCCGCTAATACGATAAGCTACCACCTAAAAAACGCATGTCTCGAGATAAATTGTGTTTCGATTCAAATATCTCATGAGACATTCTTGGGTGTTAGCACGGACTTGGTTGTCCATCACATCGGGCGTTACCGGTCTCCAACGGGTAAAAAGTGTATTGTTCAAGTTCGGGACCAGTGTGAATGCAGACAGTAAACAATTTTTTCTAAAATTCTCCTTTTCCATTTTCTATGAACAATTTTCCTTCGATGTGTTTATGTGAGCTGACGAGATGTTGATAGCAATGAATGTCCATTTTCATCATACGGTAAAATTTCGCATAAATTCAACCTAGGAGACCTCTGCATAAATTTAGCTCTACTTTCGGCAAGAAGCGTGTGAAAACAAGAAAACCACCTTTTGTACCAGAGCCTCGTGCCGCTCGAGCCCAGTTCCTCAGCGACTTACGGCTCAAGCTCCGCCCACTGAAGCAGCGTCATAAATACACGCCAATGGCGCACACCTTTATTCCAAATATGGGCACAAGTAGAACCAGCTGATCCAACCCCATACAGACATATAGCGCAGAAATGGTGCGCTTGAAATATTATTCCAAAAGCAGTTTTTGGCAAGTGATCTGTAGCTCTAAGCATAATTATTGACCGCACCTTCCACGTCAGATCGCCACCTGGCTATCTGCCGGTCACACAAGACCTTCATAGCGCACCGACCGTTGTCATGCGCTGCTGCGACCGTACTGACGGCTTACTTGCAACCAAATGCGCTTGTTTCGCTGCTCGGCCGAGTAGGGAATGGGCTCTGGTCGTGGCGTCATATGTAAGGAAAGGGCCTGCCCCAAAGTAGGGAATGGGCTTCCATCAGCTGGTGGAGAACAAGGCTGTGATCACTCGGAAGAAAGTTTCATCCCTCCCTCCCCTCAGCAAATCCTAGCAACACAGAAGGCCAACTGAATGCTCATTTCAGGGCCGACGCATTGAACTGTTTCAGCACCAGCACAGTTCCTGGAATCATTTTTCTGAGAATGACCGCAGTGAATTCAGACCGAACTACTGCGCCACTGAAAAACCCAACCTTGTGCCTCTTCCCAAATCTCGTCGGACATATCGGAGCATATCACCACAAATGGACAATCCCAACAATCTTGAGGTCTGGTTTCATGTGAATCCAAGCGATCATCCGAACATGAATCACAAATGGCATGCAAATACATATGTAGACTCAAGGATTTATGTCGGGTACAACGAAGTGCATTGCGGTCGACTTAGGAGGATGGTGAGCGCCGGGCGGCTGCTCGGACCCGGATGGCTATTGTATCCCTCACCTGGGAGACCGAATGCCTGTTCCAGTAGCACGCTAACGCCCACTTGAATGTCGTAGTGTATAAACTTCTGCAGGTCGAGGTCTGGCACAGGCGACTTCTTGTCCTTTTCCTTCTTGGCCTCCAGCATTTTCTCCATCCATGACTGTTGTGCAAGCGAGATTAGTCAGTTCGTCTTATGATAAATGGGCAGAAACTCACAAGGAATCTAGCATTTAAAGCAATGCACGGGCTTGCGGGACCGGGGAGATTCCACGATGAGGCTTAAGATCAGGTTTTCTACCGCTGCTGCGGATATTATCGCGAGGTTATGGCGACATAGTGTCAGAAGACGGCTGAAGGCTAAGCGGCTTATCACAATTCATGTTTAATCAACATGAGCGGATTACAACAAGCCATTTTTGCTCCCTAACCGGTCTGAATCTTGGGTTTGGAAAATCCGAGGACTGAGATCGATCCAGAAGGGGCCACCTCATCTCGGGGCGTCGAGACCACAGCGTCATGCATCAGTCGGGCCCATCTGTTGTCTAAATGCCAAGGCCACACCAGAGATCCGCCTCCGCGCGGCCTGGACGTGCGGTGTGAGCGCGCCCTGCGGCGCCCGTCACGGCGGCAGTCTAAGGGCGACAGCCTCAACCTGGAGATGTGGCCCGTCCACGTACTGGGGCATCTGCTCGCGGTCCTGCAACTGGCGGCACCAGTCCCCAACGGTCATGCTGGCCGTGTCGCGGCTCAGGTAGTGCCGGAACAGGCGGATTTCCGACTCGCCCGGCTCGCACGGCTCGCTGTGGTAGTAACGCGTCTCGTACTCCGGAGCCGCCACCGCGCTCTGCCGCACACACAGACGCCGCTGCGTCAGTGTCTCGACTGGTACACCGGCGCCGCCACCGCGCTCTGCCGCACACACAGACGCCGCTGTGTCAGTAGCGCGTCTCGTACTCCGGCGCCGCCACCGCGCTCTGCCGCACACACAGACGCCGCTGTGTCAGTAGCGCGTCTCGTACTCCGGCGCCGCCACCGCGCTCTGCCGCACACACAGACGCCGCTGTGTCAGTAGCTCGACTGGTACTCCGGCGCCGCCACCGCGCCCTGCCGCACACACAGACGCCGCTGTGTCAGTATCTCGACTGGTACTCCGGTGCCGCCACCAGCGCTCTGTCGCTGTGTCAGATCGCTGTGTCAGTAGCGCAATCCGTAATCTAGCGCCGCCACCGCGCTCCGCCGCACACACAGGCCGCTGTGTCAGCAAGGTAGGACAGCTTTGTTTCACGGCATGTCACATTTTTCGAGCACCTTCAGTTAATTAACTTTTGGTTGTTCTGGGTGATCGAAACGAATTGGGTCCGACTTCGAACTAGGGTGCATTTCTCCACAGGACCTGTCGTACCTGTGGATCTGCTCAACTCTCTGATGTGGGAAGGATGAGGTACATTTCACCATTTACAATAGATGTTAAATATAACAAACATTGGTGGCTGCCGCAGCCGCATCACCAACAAATCTTAAATGCAAGCTGTTAAGTGCATTTGAAGGGAACGTTGTGCATATGGATGATATAGATGATAGATGATTGTGCATATAGACAGTAGTAATAGCCTTTTTCCTCGTAGAAAAACTGGGAGGATAGAGATATGGTGCGTTCATATTTCAGCAACATGCCCTTATCAAAACGAGCATCAGTAGTAATAGAGCACTGATTCGTTTTGGTAAGGCATACTGCCAAAATATCACCCCATCTATATCTCCATTCTCCTGGTTTTTCTACGAGGAATAAGGCTATTAGTACTGTATTATCTATAAATCAATAAATGTATGGACGTGAATGCCTTTTCAATAATTACGCTCTATCGAGTGCGTGCTTCGTCCTGGAAGTATACCATGTCGGCGACTCAAAGCTTGGAAATAAACGCAGTAGCAACGCCTACCTCGGCAGTCGGAATAACTCAGCGCCATTTAGATATTTGGTTGTAAATTGTGTGTACTTACTTTTTTTGTTCTAGCAAATCTTCTTCATAGTGTCCGTTTTTTTGTTTTTAACTGCTTTCGTGCCTGCATGAGTATCCATATAATACCACGTGTACATATAGTGTATTGCGAGAAGTTGTGTCGTATATTATATGCATGCACAATTCGCGTAAGTCCAGTGCCAAATCAGTTCAAACGGAGCCAAATTGCATACAATGTTGAGGTTGGCAGTGTTGCGAACACGAGTAAATGAATAAATGATGAGCATGTTCCACGGCCGTCGCTAGCAAACGTGTTTCGAGAAAAGACCACCACGAGACGCGGAACGATGGTAGCTGTCACATGTATCGATTTTCACGGAAAGGAAAGCCATATCAACTCATTGCGCAGGTTTCCTACTTATTTCCAGAACACGATAAAAACCAGCCATTCAGCTCAGCCGGTACTGGTGACGCAACAACACGTAAAATGGGCGATAACAGCCGTTATTACTACGTTATTTGCACCCTCCAGTGCGGTGTGTGGGGCCTCCCAGATCTGCAAAGAATGTTTCCCGAGCGATTCAGCAAATCGTGATGAACTTTACGACACCTACGTTGGAAATACAACTACAGCCGCACCACGTTGGCCGCTTCTTGCTAAGCTGCGATGCGAAACGGAACGGAATTTAAAAAGTGCATAGCAGCCGAAATCTCGCGCACGTTGCTATAAACAAACTACCGCAGTAGTTTGCACCAGACGGTCACTGTCAGATTCATTCCTCACCGGTGCTCCGACAACAGACCTCATCTAACCAAGATAGCATTTGACCTTAGCCCTGAATCGACGTTTTATCGTAACACGGCCTGATAGGGGGGGGGGGAGGGGAGGGGGTGATGCGACTCCTGACGTTTTTAAAGTACTGAGGATAGAGCTTAACAAGAAGATATCAGTGGGATAGGTCTTAGAAAGATCTCGCGATTGGTTGTAGTTTGTATGATGTTAGGTTCATAATGAACCCAATTATGACAGGTTAAAGGTCATATGTTCCAGAAAATAGTCCTTTTTAACTTTACATCATAACTACAAGACCACGCCTTGGGGGCGACACCAAACTTATTCAGACATGTCCCTTTCAATTCTGAGAACAATAACGTAATCTTGTAATGCGTTTAAGCACACATTTATAAGATAATGCTCCGTTAAGGTAGCAATGTAGGCCGCCGCGCGCGTTCTCGGCATTCTCGGTCGTCGCCAGCCCGCCCGCTCAGGACGGAGATCGTCGTGCCGTGTTCCTCAAAAGCCCCCCCCCCCGCACCGAAACCAGAAAAAAATAGGAACAAGTTTTGGTGTCAAGCCATACGCAATAGACCTTCCATAAGCTAGCGAAAATTTTAGATGTGATTGCACGACATTGCCCGAGAGGTTTCCTCAAAAACACATTAGGGGGTTGCCATCGACCCGTTCTATCGGTGCGAAAGTTTAATGGTGTATTTCACGAGAAAATACCTTACGATGGACGGGAGATAGTTGCCTCGAGTTCCAGTTTCACCTACAGAGAAGCGGCCAGTCCGTGCCTGCCTCGCAACGTACGCTGCAGCACGGGGTGCCTCGCGGAGTCGCACTGGGCTGACACAACGGTGCGCCGCCTCTCTGTTACGCGCCGCCCTGCATCGCTGGGTGACGCCACGCAACGGCAAGTGGCCAGTGCGGGGTGGTCTTCGCAGCTCACCCTAACCAAGCCGTGTTACCGAGATGCGACCTCACATTGGAAGGTCTTCAGGGCTAAATTGTGCTGAAAACATTGACAGATCATGACACATTATTATCACTGCAAACGCAACATATTGCTTTGCTTAGAGGGCTTGGGAAGTGTTAAATTAGGTGATATAGAATGCCTGCTATCAGTGCTCATGACAACGTTCAAAGCAATCCGAGGCCAAGGCTACATTTAGAATGTTCTTGTCCTTGAAGGCCCTGAAGTTGACGCCAAGGTATCCCAAAAGTTGCTATATCATGAATCAAAAGGGCTGAGCTGCGCCCCTGCTTGTGCGAGGCTTGCTGGAGGTGAGGTCATTTGCAGGCCGTGGGATGACATCAGATGATGTTATACATTCATTCTGAACCAGAAAATGTTATGCTTCTGGCATGACATGATATGCACAAGAGTGAAAAAAACGTAAGTAGTCGACTGGATCTGAAGGAGCCTGAGAGACTGACCACGAGATATCGTTCAAATAGAGGAGGTAGTCGCATCCACAGCTTGGGGAAAACACGCTGGCTTCGTTTTCCAGCGGCACTTGGCACGAGTCCGGTCATGAAAACGTCAGCTCGCAGCTGGCCAACAAGAGCGGCCCGACGCCCGGGGAGGCCGTGTCCCAGCATTCCTCGCCACGTGTCGGCCTCCGTAATCCTTTCTGGTGAAAGTGTGGAGGCGATCCGTTGAACTGGGTGGTATGGCTTGGACAGTAGGTTTAGGGTATTCGCTACAAATCTCGCGTAACTAGTGTTGCGAGCCCGTATCCTCGATACAAACCACTCGGGACATGTTTACTAACAGCGAATATAATATTTTTCACAAATACTTTACTAAAAGATAGAAGCGCCAGATTATATCATGATTTCACCCTGTTTCTCTTGTCCTCTGTCGTATCTGGTGTCGCATTAGCGGGAGTCGTACCAACATCCGTCTCGTCCTCCTCTCGTCCAACACCTTGTCCTCTGTCGTATCTGGTGTCGCATTAGCGGGAGTCGTACCAACATCCGTCTCGTCCTCTCGTCCAACACCTTGTCCTCTGTCGTATCCGGTGTCGCATTAGCGGGAGTCGTACCAACATCCGTCTCGACAGTGCGGAAAGCGAATGAAGCGTTGAAGATATGACAATTAGAAGTGATAACGACGTGGCGATAACAAAGATTAAAGTATAGTTTAAGCACTAACAAACGGGCTCACATACTGAAGCCGCTTTCGGGTTTCAACCGCTCCCGTCAAATACAAACAGACCTCACCATAAACGAGAAGACATTAGTGTCGCTTAACACCCCGTAAGTACAGCAGTGCTTGACATCCCCGTCAGAAGGTTCCAGCCGCGAGGGCAATGGTTCAACCGTCCAGAGCAGATCTGAAGTTCCTTTGTGAACTTCCCGAAGACATGCTTCTCAGAGCAGCCCACGATGACCTCAACGACATGCCCAATTCGTTCAAAAAGTGGTCTTCGTCACACACTCAACTTCCAGGGCGTCACGCACCCACAATGTTTAGACCCACGATTCCGCCAGTAAGGAGCACGGTCGCCTGGGTCACCGGAGCTGGGCGTCACCTCGGTGTGAGGGAGCAGCAGGCCCCGGGTCACCGGAGCTGGGCGTCACCTCGGTGTGAGGGAGCAGCAGGCCCCGGGTCACCGGAGCTGGGCGTCACCTCGGTGTGAGGGAGCAGCAGGCCCCGGGTCACCGGAGCTGGGCGTCACCTCGGTGTGAGGGGCAGCAGAGGCCCCGGGTCCGGAGCTGGGCGTCACCTCGGTGGGAGGGAGCAGCAGGCCCGGGTCACCGGAGCTGGGCGTCCCTCGGTGTGAGGGAGCAGCAGGCCCCGGGCCGGGCTGGGCGTCATCTCAGTGGGAGGGAGCAGCAGCCCCGGGTTACCGGAGCTGGGCGTCACCTAGGTGTGAGGGAGCAGCCTGTAGAGTAGTGTGAGGCCCCGGATCGCCGGCGCTGGCCGTTACCTCGGTGTGCGGGAGCAGTCTGTACAGCAGCGTGAGGCCCGGAATCACAGGATTCCTGTCCATGTCCGTCGGCAGCAGGTTGCTGACGCCGCCCTCGAAGCTGGGCAGGCCCACCCGGATACGCTGCTGGTGGCCGCCAACACGCAGCACCGGCTTGGCTTTGGTCGAGTCGAACGGTCCGACCAGAGTCGTGCCAACCACCACCATCTGGCTGCAGAGACGGATGGATTCATGCTATTGGACGTCTATATGGCAAAAATAAAACAGCATCGCCACTAACCAGAACATGATTCAAAACCGTGCCGGTCAAACGCAGTACATATTCATTTAGTGGCACGGCGATGGTCGTCAATCATGTGACGTTCCTCCGCGCTACGTGGCCAGTTGTGCTGCGCCCATCCGTCAGAACGTCATATTCGACAGAAAATAAGGCCTCAGATACCAGGACATACCACAGTACATCAAATTTCATTGTGCAGAAATTATCTCATTCCTGCGTGGTATTCACGTCAACACAAGGCTCTGTCACTCACAAACACCTCTTGGAGTCCGCGGACCTCGGAAGAAAACACCGAGGATCATTTCTGTGCCGCACAATGTAACGACACATCCAGCCAGCCCAAAGCAATCCGTGTCAGGTAAGCAGCGCCAGGTTAGACGCCTGTTTCGTTCACCGACGACATCGGGCCAAATGTTCCCCGACTGTCACGGAACATTTCGGCCTGGTTGATAGCGTTTTGGACCGGCTGGTAAGATACCGGCGCGGCTGGTTTCAAAGGTCGCTGTATGCACCGTCTGTCTGTGTGCGACCTTGCTATCTGCAAAGGTCACAGAGGCCTGCACCGCTGTCACGGCTAGAACCGAGACAGCATCTATAGCTGGAAGGCATCGGTGACCAACGTATCGCAAGGTCAGCGCTGAAGGCGAC